CAGTGAGCGGGAACCGGTCACCACATGGGATCCGAACCCTCGGCGGGAGCGCCGCCGCGCTTCCAAGTGGTGCAATCTCCAGTGCGCCACCGGGCCGGCCCTGTGAGAGTTTTTATGAGTCCCAATTTCATAAGTTTTTACCAGGTCCTGTCCTGTTGATACCTATTCCTAACATCTCTTTGTGGGTTGAAGGTAAGAATATTTGGCAGATTTTCTCTTTTAGGTGTCTAAGCTGAGGAAATTTTACATATAAGAAAATTTGCATTTCTGAGACATCACTTACTGAGTTGATGTTACAGGGTCTTCTTAAATCTCTAAATTCCCTCTGAGAATTAAATGTGCTTGGAGAATATAGTCCATCTATTTCATACATTCATAAAATATGAATACTCTTATTTATTCTTTCAAAGAAGATTTAACTTTAAACACATTATGAGGGGTAATGGGTTTAAAGTTAAATATTCTTTGAATATATAATTCACACATTGAAAATCAAAAATAAAGACTTTGCTAATACCAGATTTATGCATTGAATATTTCTGTTAATCGATGTAATGCAAAGACAGGTAATATTTTTGTTTTTCTGTATGAAAAGGATTAGTCACTAAAGAGATTCATGGATTTAGCAGTTTCATCTCATACATTCTTCCACAGTTAAACTAGTTGAAGGACCATAGAATTTATAAACCATGGATTATTAATACTTCATAGAGCAAAAATGCTACTTAATTAATACTGTAACCACTAAATTACATAGTACATGTCTTCAAGGAATTCAGAATATTTTATAAGCATCATTTAATTCCACACTTACTAAGGCTTCTTAAGCACGACCAGTTCTGCAGCCTTCAGTCTTTCTGCGGCATCAGAACTACCAGAGCACCTGGGTCCCTTGCATTCATTTACCTTGTATGCCATCCCCACCATGCTCCATTGAAATTTGGAAAAGGTGCTTAGAAGGAATGAACTTTATGGTAAAGTGTACTCTTTTAACAAGTATGTGTTCTTGCTGTAGTTTTTTTTTTTTTTTTTTGTCTTTTGTCTTTTTTTTCCATGTCCGGCAACGGATCGCAACCCTCAGTGTTGCCCCCGTACCGGGCCGGGGACCGGCAACGGGATCGCAACCCTCGATGTCGCTCCCGCGCCTCGCTCAGCCAGTGAGCGGGAACCGGTCTGTATGTGGGATCCGAACCCTCGGGCGGGAGCGCCGCTGTGCTTCCCAAGCGGCGCACTTATCCAGTGCGCCACCGGGCCGGCCCCCTTGCTGTAGTTTTTAAGGTACAACTGAGTTTATTTAAAAATTACTATTAAACACCAATATTTTACTGTGCTTTCATTATCATTTTAATGAAAGCTGGGACAGTCCAAATTGAGAATTTGGCAAAATATTATTTATGATTTTAAACCAGAACATTTCCTAAATTCTTCAGGTAATGTATATGTTAGAGCCCGGGTTTTATACATCCTAAGTGAAGAGAAGAAAGTGCAATTTCACAAGTGCCCTTCTAAATTGGCCTTAGGTTTTCCAGAGAGACATTCATTGTGGAATGCCCTGGTTGTAAAACTTTAGTTTTGCTACACTTATTTGAGAACAACTTAATACTTCATTTAAATAAAATGCTCCCAAATCCTCGGAATTCCCAACTCATTCTATAAGACCAGCATCACCCTGATACCAAAACCAGATAAAGATACAACAACAACAACAACAACAACAACAACAAAAACTAAAGTCCAATATCTCTGATGAACATAGATTTTATTTGAGAACAACTTAATACTTCATTTAAATAAAATGCTCCCAAATCCTCGGAATTCCCAACTCATTCTATAAGACCAGCATCTCCCTGATACCAAAACCAGATAAAGATACAACAACAACAACAACAACAACAACAAAAACTAAAGTCCAATATCTCTGATGAACATAGATACAAAAAGCCTCAAAAAATATTAGCAAACAGAATATTAGCAACACATCAAAAACATTACCCACCATGATCAAGTGGGATTCATCTCAGGGATGTGAGGTTGGTTCAACATAAGCCAGTCAGTAAATGTGGTACACCACATCAACAAAATCAAGGGTAAAAGCCATATGGTTATCTCAGTAGACACTAAAAGCATTTGACAAAATTCAGTATCCTTTATTATAAAACTAGGTTTAGAAGGAAAGTATCTCAATACAAAAAAAGCCATATATGACATACCCACCATCAGTATCATCCCGATCAGGAACAAGACAAGGATGGCCACTCTCACCAATCCTATTTAACATAGTATTGGAAGTACTAACCAGAGCAATTAGGCAAGAGAAAGAAATAAAGGCATCCAGATTGGAGAAGACGAAGTCAGACTGTCCCTGTGTGCAGATGACATGATCCTACAGATAGAAAAACCTAGAGAGTCTACCAAAAAACTCTTAGAACTGATAAACTATTTCACTAGTGTTTCAGGATACAAAACCAACACATAAAAATTAGTAACATTTGTACACTCCAACAATATATTTCTATATTCTGCTGGAATAGCAGGAAAAGAAATCAAGAAAGCAAGCCCATTTACAATACTAATCAAAAAAATTGAAATACCTAGGAATCAATTTAACCAATTAAAGAGGTGAAAGATCTCTACAATAACTACAAATTGCTGCTGAAAGAAGTTAAAGGGGACACAGAAGGGTAGAAAGACATCCTTAGTTGGTTAGTTCTTCTTGGATTGGAAGAACCAACATTATGAAAATGTCCATACTCCCCTATGTGACCTACAGATTCAATGCAATCCACATCAAAATACCAATGACATTCTTCACAGAAGTAGAAAAAACAACCCTAACATTCATATTGAAGTATAATCTGAATTAAAGGCAATTCTTTCTTGAATAAGGCATTTTTGAATGATTCATTTCTCAGTTTAGTACATACATTTTGGATTATTTCACATTAAATTCAGTTGTATGACTCCTACTCAGGAAGAGTACTTTACTGAAATTGTCATCATTTTGCTTCTTGTATTTTCTTCCATAAAAGTCTACTTTGACATTTATGAGGATATTATTCTACTTGACAGATTAAAGAGGTTTCCATGGCAAAATGGAGTTTGAGATTGAGGAAAGTATTTTTGCCAGTCTAATAGAATCATTTCTAATTCTCTGCCTCTCTTTGCTTGCATGAAATGATGCATATAATGATCTTAAGTAAGATTTTAGTATGTCAAGTTCTGAATGTATAGAAAACTCAGTTCACTTGAAACACATTTTTTCTAGTATATTATTACTAAAAGAAGTGTCAGCTTGACAGTGACAAAAATGTTTCCGTTTCAAGATAACATTTGATAGTGTGATTTATGCCAGATTAATGAAGGGCAGAGGAATTGGGTAAGGAGTGATACTTCCATGCAATTACTAAGAGTGAAATATTTTATCTTTTCAGGTTTCCCAAATCTGCGGTTTCTGTTTTGAAGAGCCAGCACTTACGGCAGAAACTCCTTCAGTCTCTGTTTCTTGATAAAGTTTACTGGGAAAGTCAAGGAGGTAGACAAGGAATTGAAAAGCTTATCGATGTAATAGAACAGAGAGCCAAAATTCTTATCACCTACATCAATGCACATGGGGCCAAAGTATTACCTATGAATGAATAACAAAAGGATATATTGGCCAGACTGCTGGATATATTTATGCCTTTTTGTTTTTGTTTTTAAATCAAGTACATTGATCTCAAGTCCTTTTAGGAATGAAGCAATGTAGATGAATATATGAAATAAGTGAATTTGACCAAATAGATATGATGGGCCTGAGCAACATATGCAGATTTTTAGAAGGTTTTAAAAAACATAATGCTCAAAAAATTTTGTTTATATTTTTCTCTAACTTCATGTGGGTGTCAACATCTGATTACAGAATAGTTCCAGTTATTGTTCTAACTAGCTTTTAAAAACATTTGTCATGTTGTTTAATAGAACAGTATAAACTATTCCATTGTTAAACCATATTTTATACCATTTTGACTGGTCTGACCAAATAATAACAAGACTGGGTTCTTGACTTTTTCTGTTGCTGATTGTTAAAACAGAGCAGTCCCAATACTACCCAGAGGCAACTCTACATTGAAAAACTGAGACACATAATCTACAAAAGTATCAGAGCCTAGAGTAGATTATAAATGGAAATAGTGGTTTATTTTCAAACTCAGCAGTATATTTTCTATTGTATCTATAAACAGTCATCTGAGCAGTAAGAATCATATTTTCCATTCCTTTTGAGAAATTTATCTTGCTGTTAGTATAGAAACCATGTGCAACCTTATGTCTGACAATTTTCATGTTAGGTAGTTTTGCTTTCTCCATTTTGGTCCAATTTATGTCTAGTTGCTTAGATATTAAACAATTCTAAGGTATGAAGTTATCTGTTTGAAAATGTACTTACAGGGTGGTTTTTTTTTTTTGATGGATGTTATTTTTTAAAATTTTGTCATCTTTACAAAGGAAATACTACAATTTCTGTATATTTTATTAATAATAGTGGATTTCTTAAAATTTGTTCTTTGTAATTATATTTAATCTGATTTAATTCATATTGCCCAAATACTGAGAATAGGTCCAGATATGGAGTGTGGTTGAATATATTATCTGGCTTATTCCAATATGAGAAATATGAACATAATAAGTTAAAACCGAGTCTGATCAGTTTTCCTCAATGAAAGCACATGACTAGAACTAAAACAGTGAATCTGGACAATATTAAGCTTCAAATAATACTTGGACATATAGTATTCATGTGTTGGGTCTTCATGTCCTTGGACAATACCCCAGATCATCATGTATGATAGATATCCGTAGAAACTTCATAGATATATTCATATAGAGGCTTCAAATTTACAGCAAATCATAATTAACTTCCCACCCTCACACATCCTACCCCTTGTTTAAAAAAGATGATTTACTGACTTTTTCATTCCCTGAAAGCTTCATAGATATATTCATATAGAGGCTTCGAATTTACAGCAAATCATAATTAACTTCCCATCCTCACACATCCTACCCCTTGTTTAAAAAAGATGATTTACTGACTTTTTCATTCCCTGAAAGTTTAAAAATGCAATTTAAGGATGTTTATAATACATTCTATCCTGTATTTTCTTAGTTCTGTTATTGCTAAAATGCACCACATTTTCTATGTTCTGAACAAGGGTAACTCAATAGCATTGTGAATTAGAACTATTAAAGACATTACAATAAAGGCTAGATTTTTAAAAAGAGAGCACACCTAGAGATTTTAATTTATACAAATGTATAGAGCAGAATATCAGAATAACATGTTAAGTACAAGAGAAGATGGACCAAGGAGAGAGAAATTATTTGATCATCAAATTATAAATTTTCCAGGCTCATATTCAAGTATTGCTTGTAGAGCCAATATTCAAGTATTGCTTATTTGCTGCCCCTGCCCTTGGAAGTTGATCTTTTTTTTTTTTGAGACCAGCTGCACTGTGCTCAGCCAGTGAGTGCTGTGAGCGCACCGGTCATCCCCATATAGGATCCGAACCCATGGCGGGAGCGTTGCTGCGCTCCCAGCGCCGCACTCTCCCGAGTGCACCACGGGCTCGGATCAACCTCCTCTTCAATTTTGTCTCTATAGCCTTGAGTGCCTCCCTCCACTCCCACCAATTCCTAGTACTCCTTGGCTCTCCTGAGTCCCCAATTTTATCTGCTGTCTCTGGGCTTTTAAAGACCCTTTTATTCTCTTATAAATCATTCTGTTAATGAAAAATTGGCTTCACAAAAGTTTGGAGACCCTAGTTCAGCGGTGACTGAGCCACTGACTTGAAATAACTCTTTTGGCAAGTTGCCTTACACTTTGTTTTATCAAGGTGGCATATTTGTATTTTAACTTGCTTTTATGAAATTTGTCATCTTAATCCAAATTTGTGATATTGATGGTGAGACTTCCAGGCTCCTTAGGAGGCATCTTTAATTTTGAGTCTCAAGCTACACTGCTTTTGGGAAGCCTGGTCCTCCCAAGGAGGGTCTGACTTCATTTATTTGCCTCCAGTTATTCTAAAATTCTTAATAGTAGATGAAAGGTCCAGGAACACATGTTTATTTTAGTCACCTTTGCTTTTTAACAATATGTTTTGTTTGTAATTAGTGAATAATTCATGGTGGATTGTTTTTGAATAATGGATAGCCAAAAGCCAGGCTTTTAATTCTAATAAGTAAAGTTTTTCTTTTCTCTTATTAAAACAATGGGAATACTCTCTGCATTTCCAATGCACTCAGACAGTGCTATGGTTTAGTTCACATAAATACACCATGTGGTTTATTGATAACAAGTTTAAAATGCAACAATTTACCATAGCAGACATGCAAAAGCTTATTCTTGTGTGACTTATTTTCTTTAAGCTGATGATATGAAAATAAATAAGTGTCTTTAAATCTGTAATAAAACATTGGAAATTAAAGGTGTTTGCTTTTTGTTTTGTAGATGGGTTCGTTTTCTTTTTTCTTTTTTTGTAGATGAGTCAGTTTTCAGAAGCTAAGTGTAGAGGAATATTTGCTACTTTTATCCGTGAAAACAAAGAAACAGTTGAATAGACAAGAGTTTTGTTTGTGGGTGCATATATTTGATATCATCGTTAGTGATGACTACTTTACCTATATATAATAAGTAAAACATCTTGATGTAGATCCGTTTATACACAATCTTATGAAATTCACACAACCTTATGAAATTCAGCACAAAAAATGATGTGAGGCATGTTCTGAATATGCTACTAGTCTGAATATGATATGGAAACTGTACTTGGGTCAAATAAAAATGATAAAGATCTTTCTCTAAAAATTAGATATTGTAATTAAGAGTCAAGAACTTTCATTCATGAAAGAGAATTTGACTTGACTTGTCAGAAAAGTTATCTGAAACTTGGAAATAGCCGGAAGTGATTTTTGGGTGTTCTTTTAGTACAACGCTGGGCTTGATTTTCTGCAGAATGGGCTATTTAATAATGTTGTAGGGCAGAGGTTAACTTGTAGATCTTTTCTCCCATAGAGACGCAAATAATTTCTTTCTGGTAGAAAAGGTACCCTAATGGTTACAATTTATTACCCTGTTGGACAATTACTGGTTTGATATCTACTCAAGCAATCTTATCCTAATATTGCCTATAAATATTTAGCTTTCAAAATATTCTTTTAAATGGATTTACCAACTTACTGGTTCCCTCATTAATTAACTATTTGATTAAAATCTTTGACGTATATTCATTTTATATTTGCATAGGAATCAGAGTTTTATCTTTTTGAAAATTCTGCTATAATAAACTTCTGACCACAGAGTCATACAATTTTATTTGCTTGTGAGTCATAATTTTAAATTTTGAAAATTTTACTTTAACAAACTTACAAAACGTAGAGTTATATAATTTTATAACTGAATGGTATCATGAAATCAGCATCTTGTCCAACACCCTCATTCTCTGGGTGAAGAAACGGAGGCTTAATGAGGCAAAGTGACTTGCCCCAACTTACACAAATGATTGGCCTACTATCTTCAATCTTGGAATTGACTAGAAAGATAGAAAACCAAACTTTTTCAGGGATTTCATTATCTACCAAGATAGAAGAAGAAACCTCAACTTTATAAAT